ATATATATATATATATATAGTGGTACTACCACATCCAACGCACTGATGGACAAATCCAATAAAATTGAAACTCATCGACCAACTCACCCGTCTCGAAATATGATTTTTGTCGTCTCGAAAGATGATTTTTGTGTGTATATGTGTGTGTGACTGGTGGTGGTGGTGGAGGATGATGAGTTGTTTTTGAGAAAAGGGGTAATTGGCATGTAAATTTTTCTACGAAGCCCAGAACTCTAGAGAGAGAATCTAGAGAGAGGGAGGGGATTTTGTTAAATTTCTTGTAAAGTTTTTTATATAAACGCATATATTTCAATGATTATTTTGGCCACATAATATGTTAAAAGAATAATTTAATAATTTAAAAAGGGGATAATGTATTTAATTACATGGCCTAATGTCTCCTTAAAAAATTATAAAATCAAACATGAACATAACTAATATGGGAATTCGAGTCTCCTCCGTTGAGTGAAAGTTATAAGATTAAACATGGACACAACTAATATGGGGATTCGAATCCCCTCCATTGGGTGCGCGGAATGGACAATTCAATCAAACTTGCCCCACTTATAAAAATTGTTTTTAAGCTCACCCAAGGAGGGATCCTGTGATCCCTCAGGTGCCTCAAAAGTCAAAACGAAGTATTTTTTTAGGCACAACAAGCAGGTTACTAATTTTTAAAAGCATCCTTTAACAAATGCTTTATTTAAAATTTTGTTTCACACAGACTTCTCAAAAATATCAAATTTCCTTCTCTCTCTTTGCCTTTTTTTAATTCATACCAAAACCTACCTCCTCCACATACCAAAACATTAATATAACAATTTGAACAATTAATTATAACAAAACATTAATATAACAATTTGAAGAAAAAGAAAATGAGAGAACTTCAAAAGAAAAAAAAAAAAAAGTTTGATTGAAAAGGGGAATATAAATATTTAATTTGTAAGCAAAATTAAGAAAAATTTAGAGTAAAAGAGAGAAAAAAAAAAAAAATAGATATTTTGAACAATTGAAAATTTTAGATGGGGCATTGTGTAATTTTTTTACATATTTAAATACATAAAAAAAAAAAAAAAAAAAAATTAGATATACAATATATTGGACCAGGCAGGGACAAGGGGCAAGTGTCCTCCTGGGCCTACATTGGCTCGGTCTCTGTTTATATTGAATTATTGATATAAACAAAATCTTGTCTTCGGCTCTATTTATATGATGTGATTTGGTTCTTGTCCCAAAGATAATACATTGATATATGTTCAACGATTAGAACAACCAATTGTAGTAGCAATAAGTGGAAAGGAATAAAAATAAAAATTTGTTATAGCAATAATTAATAAATTCAAATGGTAATGATTTTTTAAGTTATTTTAGTGTGAAAAGGTCACTGGACGTGGATTTGATTAATTGATATAACTTTCATATGTGTCATGTGAATGTCACTTGAAAATTTCGAACTTGAAATGCAAATGTGGCTCAATTACTAGATTTGTTTAAATTATTTTATTCACAAAGTTTAATCCCTAAGTATATTATTTTATTAGGAATTAGGTGGAGAAGCTATTTTCTTTTTCTCTTGATACGTGAATATGACGGAAAATTACTTATGTCGGCTATAAAATTGCTGCTGATATGTAAACATTTTTTTAGATCAATAGAGAAAAAGAAAAAAAAAAATAGAAAAGAAAAGAAAAAGGTTGTTGATGTAATACCCAAATAAGAAAATAAATAAATAAATAATACATACATACCCCCCCCCCCCCAAAAAAAAAAAAAAAGTGGACAAAGGAATGATTCAATACAAAATCTTTTTTTCTTTTCTTTTTTATAATATAATTTAAGGGTAATTTATAGTAACACCCCCTGAAATTTGGGTTAATTACAGGTAGATGCAACCTGCCCCTTTTTAAGCAATGACACCCCTGAGGTTTAATAAAGTTAACAAAGATACTCCTGATGACATTATTGCCATTTGACTAGATAGTAGAACTATTTAAACATTAAAATTACTTTTTTAACCTATATAATTCATTTTATTGGACTAAACTGAACCTCTTTAACAATATATTCTCATATTAATAAACCACCACCACCACCAACAATAACAACAATTACTCCAGCATATGTGTTTGCTTAGGGGCGGAGCCAGAAATTTAAGGTTGGGGGGGCCGGATATGAACTATGTAACAAAAATTTAAAAACTTTATAAATCAATTGTAATATAATTTTTTTTTTAAATACTAGTCATAGTATATATATCTTGAAAAAAGTAAAAAATGAGAAAAATACAACTTGGACAAAAAAATATATATTTGATGTTAGAAGAAAATTATAGAGAAGAACCGTAAAGAAATAAGCATTGTTAGAAAATCAAATTTCCTTTATCAATTGTTTTAATTTTTCAAAAATCTAATTTTTGGAAGAAGGAAATTAAGTTTTTAGATTCTACAATTCAACAACATAATGAATTTTAACTCAATTTTTTTTAAAAAAAAAAAAGGAAAAAAAAAGAAAAAGAAAATCAACAAGATTATTATTGAGTTGTTAAATAAGATACAAATAGTTATAAAATTTGTTATTTAGAAAGTGATAACTAAAAGTATTAACATATGTGATATTATTATTGTTATTGAGAGTCTCACAATACTTTAGTTTATCTTCTTTCCAAATATTCTCAGGAATTGCCAATAAAGATTGTTATAACTCTCTTCAATTTTCTGAAAACTCAGTTATAAAAAGGCATGTTTTTGGAAAACGGTCATTTATAGTTCTTTGAAAATAGTTTTCTGTTCTGTGAATTCTTGAAGACTGTTCTCAAAGTTACAAATCAAGTAGCCCTATAAAATTTTAGATATTTTTCTTATAAATGCCATTTTACTAAAATGTTTGACAAAAAATTATTCATGCATTTTTACCAAACATGAGGGAATATTAGTTATTTTATTCATTTTTTTTCTCTCTTGAAAATATATTATAGATATTGTATGTGTATATATAAATAAAATAACAATGTGTCGTGATAACGACTATAATAATTATTTACTAAGAAAATGACTATAATAATAATGAGCTTAAATTTTTGTTTCATAATATTTGAGGTTTTAAAAGTATAGTTAAAAGAGTGCAAGTTGAAAAAATTTAAATTTCAAGGAGACAACAAACTAAATTTATTTTCAAACTCTTTATTTTGGATCAGTATATGTGTTTTGAAAAAGATTAGGGGGCCAATTGAAATTTTTAATAATTTTTAGGGAAAAAATCTACAAATTAATTAATATTTAAGGGCTATTAATAGAATTTTCAAAAAACTTGACTGGTCAATATATGTGTTAAAAATATTGGAGGGCCAATTAAAAATTTTAATTAATAAATTTAAAGTCAAAATTTATAAATTAATTAACATTTAGGAGGTAGTAAAAAAATTTCCAAAAAGTTTGGGGGGGCCATGGCCCCACCCTAGCTCTGCCCTGTGCTTGCTTAGCTTTTGAAAGAAAAAAAAAAAAAAAAAAAAAAATTAGAAATTGAACATAAAATAAAATCCGAATTCAAACATAAAATTTATGTAACCAATCCCACACGTAATTGAAAAAATATTTTGGTTAAAACTCGAGTTCAAAGACTTGAATGTATTGGATTGTGATTTATTTAATTGAGATTTTATTATTATTATTTTTCTAGGTTGTGATTGAATGTTGGTCAATTTGGATTTCAAATAACTTCCTACACATCATTTTAAGCTAATATAGTTAAGTTGAGGAAATCAATATAAACCTGAATTACTCACTTTAAAGTTATTCTATAGTTATCATCTAAATGAATTTTCATTCAAAATTTTATTTTTTTTATCCAAAATGAGGTTTTGTTTCATTTATTTAAATTTATTGTTATTATTCAATTAAATGCTAATTTATTTTCTTACCATCTTAAAATTGATGTATAGGGAATGTGCATAGCAAGATCTTGAAGTCACTAAGATAAAACATGTGCTGAATAATGGTTGGTGGTGGTGGTTGGTTTATTAATGTTAGAATATGTTATTAGAGAGGGTTAGTTTGGTCCAAAAAAAAAAAATAAAATAATGACTTATAAAAGTTAAAAATATAATTATAATATTTAAATAGGTCAATTAATTAGTCAAAGGACGATAATGTCATTGAGGGAGTCTTTTTTTTTTACTTTGAGGGGGTATCATGGTTCAAAAAGGGGTCTAAGTTATATCTACATGTAATAAACACAAACCTTAAGAGATGTCATTGTAAATTACTTATAATTTAATTTAGTAAAAAAATTTTTTCTTGTGATCGGATTTGTATTACAGGGAATGGAACGAAAGTTTTTCGATTAACATCACGGAATCGATTAGGCGAGAAGTTTATTGCAGAACTTCGTCCAAATATTTAAGAGTATGATTATGTTCGTGTAGAAATAATCCTTTCTCTCGCTAAAAATCACTCTTCAAAATCAGTTCTTCATATCTCTTCCTATGGATATGCATATCATATTCACTTCCTTCCCGACATAAAGAAAGATGCATTCCTTAAGTCTCTATCTACTCTCCCTTTCAACATAGGTAAGGCAAAAAAAAAAAATAATAATAATAATAATAAAGGAAAAACGTGGCAAACAGAGCTGCTGCCACGTTTTTCATGATAAAGATCATGAAAAAACTTTCATAATGATTATCATTTTCATATATATATATATATCCAACAAGATTGTTCTTTTGTAAATACAACCATCAATTTATTATAAAAAAAACAGCAAAGAAAACATACATCTTTTCACTGAATTGACATAGCATAACAAATATATAACCAATTCGAACTTTCAGGCTTAGCACACCGGAAAACATGAAAATTACTTTAAATCACACACTTTCGCCAAGCTTTAAGGACATAAAGAGCATCCATTATTATAACTGCATCGAATGCAAATGCAGTTAAATTATTAATGATTAAAAAACTAATAAAAGGTGGTTGATGATCATTGTCTCGATTTTCTCCTCATTTGTTGAGATATGCTCCAATTGCAGTAAGATACTTGTCAGACCTTCCATGAAATCCAATGATCTTTGCGCAATTGGTACTAGATGGGAATTGAAATTTCTCTCCATCCGCCACCCCAAACGGTCCAATTGTTTTTTTGTTGCTTTGAAATTCAAGCGATCGGATAACAACCATGTTACCTACTTGTCCATAATACCCCCAAAATGAGAGCAAAAATTCATCGGCATCTAATGTGACCTACATAAATTATATTGGTTTAAAAAAAAAAAAAAAAGGATAAGCATGCATGGTATTCATATTTGCATAAATGAAAGCTTGAGTATTAAAATCTTCAACAAAAATAAGGAAAATTTTGCTATTATTATAATGTATTAAATAGTAAATTATAACTAACCTTATTTTCTTGTCCGCCGATAGTACCATGCTTTTCTCCCAATACTCTATTTCCCTCCTTGTCGTAGACAACTTGAATGCAATCAATTAATGCTCCACAGTGTATAATCAATTCCCTTACCGTGGTGTAGGTTCCATCATCCCACTGTTGTCCACCAGTAGTTCCAAATGGACCAACAGTTATTACAGTTGGTAATGGCTTAACATATACTCCAATCGAATCCACACAATCACCCTATATTCCAAAGAATCCAACAATCTTGCCAGCAGTTAACGGGGTTATAAAATAAGTTCCTTCTTTCTTACCATATGGTCCATATTTCTGTGTATTGCTTTGTAATGTAAGAGATTTCACAACAATACAATTACTACTTCTGGAGTATTGGTCATAGTACCCTGATATTGAAACGAGATATTCGGTAGGATAATTTAGTTTCACCTGTAAGATTTCAATTAATAAGGATAAACTTAGGTATTACAACAAAAATTGGTAAACGACAAACACAATAAAAAAAATTATAGAACAACATAAAAAAATTTCAATATGCAATTTAGGGGGAAAAAAAGAACAATTCACTATGCGAAAAAGAATATATATATATTATGGAGATTAATTACAAGTTTTCAAGCGCACAATCTTTTGTCTCTCTCATCATCATCATTATCATTATTTTCCCAAATGAATGACTGTCACATAAATTCTCTCTCCATTCTCTATTATACGTTGTTTTAAAATTATTTTAATTTCTTCTTTCCATATTAGTTTCGGCAGTCTTCAGTTTTTCTTTCCATCTATGCAAAGTACTTTTCCCTTTTTAACGGGCCCATCAACTGGTCTACTTTCTGTTTTCTATTAATTGTTAGATTTGTTTAACTCGTTTTACTCACAGTTTAATTTTCTTTTTCTTCTCTGTTTATCTCTGCTTCATAATATATACACACATATAATTAATGTGGTACTGTCCGTAATGATTGGAAGAGGATTTGATTAGATACACATATAATGAAAATAAAATTGCAAGAAAATAATAAACATACACAGATAATGAAAATAAAATAGCAATAAAATAATATACATACACATATAATGAAAATAAAATAAAATATATAATACCGCATATGGTTTCCCCAACGCCACGACTTTGCCATTGTCCAGATACCCGCCACGACCACGCTTTTGTCCAAGCACCGCCTTTCCTTCAGTATCATAGACAACCTGGAGGGAATAAATATCCGATCCTGCTTGTATAAAGAATTCCCTTATCATAGTGTAGGCTCCGTCATCCCACTTTTGATTTGCTGGTGCATCTACCCGACCAAATGTTCCGAAAGTAACTATCTGCCCATCCGCCATGGAGTCCTTAAAACTAGAGATAAGTTTAATTAGTACGGTAACTGGATCGTTAAAAAGCAACATGTGTGTGTTACATGTGTGGAAGGATGCAATTCAAGAAAAAGTAAAAAAGGCGTATAATTATTTGTTGAGGAATTAATATGGATCATTAATTAAAGAAGAATCCAAAATGAAGTATTTAAGGATGTTCATGGGCGAAACACCCAATGAAATTACTTCTCCCTTTTATTTTCTTTTTCTCTTGATACCTGAATATGAAAGAACAATAAATAGGTACATACCAAAAAACATGGAAAGTAAATAGGTACATACCAAAAAAGAAGAGATGGGAAAGACTGTCAGATGGTGAAGCAAATAAAAGTGGAAGGAGACAAACAGTGAAAAACTCCGAACAGTGATGAAGGGAAACAATAAACAGTTGTCTTGAAATCAAAGGGACATGGCATGGGTATATATAGGGAGTTCTGACTTCAATTAATATATTATTGTTTCATTTACATTTATATATACACTTATAATATTCATTATATGAATTCTAGAGAGATAAAGATTTTTTTTTTTTTTTACTATTGTGTCCTCATATTTAATAAAAATAGTTGAACTTTTTTAGACAGTCAATTTCGTTAAATGTTGTTTAATATTGAATAGGAAAATTGTAACAATTGTTGACTAAATTTTAAAGATTGAACAATGTTTTCCTTTGCAACATCTTCTTTTATCCGTAATTTATCAGTTATCGCTTCCTCCTCCTTCTTCTTCTTCTTCTTCTTCTTCTTCTTCTTCTTTTTTTTTTTCATATCAGTTTTCAAATTACTACTTATATAAGTTGTTTTGTCTCATTTTTTTGAATTGTATTTCTCTCAACATTTCTACGGATAAGGATAATATTGTTAAAAAAAAAATTAAAAATATTTCAAAATTTAATTACATAATACCCGTCAGATCAGTTTTATTTTTTTGCTCCGTCCCTAACTACTCTCCATCTATTCGTAGTTGGTTTTGATATGGGCTGCTGAGCTATATGTTTCTTAAATTTTCAATAGAAGGACTATTAATAGTCTTTTGTATTGGATCATTTCCTAATTTTTATATTTATATTAAAAGTCCCACTCGATTGGTTGATGGTTGAAGGGGTTCCTAAAGATGAATGATAAACAATAATACATGAGAGGTATCACGTGCTATATGAAGATTAATCCACAATGATAATTTCGAAGAAGAAGATGAGACACATAAGAGAGATTGATGGTGTAGTAGAAGTGTTCGTGTCACAAAGAGCAAATAAGCTCTTGTTTTGAAAAACCGTGCATTCATTTTTGTGAAAACCAAAAAATATTTGGGAACATCTAGTACTGTTGAAGTTTTAAAAGGAGAAAAGAGATGTTTGGTAATTTTTTTTTTTATTTTTTAAATTGAATCTTTTATTTACTATTCGAGTATAATAAAATATTTATTTATTTATTTATTATTTGAGTATAATTGAAAATAGAGTGATATTAAGCTCTTGTTTGGTAAAGGTGTGATTTTCATTTTTGACAGTTCTTTTATTTTTTTGAAAATGACATCTTTTGAAAAACTGTGCATTTATTTTTGTCAAAACCAAATATATTTGGTAACGTACATTTACTATTGAATTTTTAAAAAAAGAAAAGAGAAAATATGTTCAGTAATTTTTTTTTTAATTTTAAATTTAATCTTTTATTTACTATTCGATTATAATTGAAAAATAATAAAATAATACTCTAATTTAACTATTCGAGTATAATAAAATATTTTTTTATTTACTATTTGAGTATAATTGAAAATTAATAAATATTATTTTATTTACTATTCGAGTATAATTGAAAATTAATAAAATAATAAAATAACATTTTTAATTTTACTATTCAAGTATAATTAAAAAAAGTAAAATTTATTTAATATTTGGGTATAATTGAAAATTAATAAAATAATATTTTATATACTATTCGAGTATAATTTAAAATTAATAACATAAGAGGAATGCCTCCTTATGACCTTGTAATGTTCATTTTTTTTATTTTATAAATTATCCCATTCAGAAAAAATAATAATAATGAAATAACATTTTTAATTTTACTATTAGAATATAATGAAATATTTTTTTAATTTTATTAACTATTTGAGTATATTTGAAAAATAATAAAATAAAACTCCTTATGACCTTGTAATGTTCATTTTTTTATTTTATAAATTATCCCATTCAGAAAAAATAATAATAATGAAATAACATTTTTAATTTTACTATTAGAATATAATGAAATATTTTTTAATTTTATTAACTATTTGAGTATATTTGAAAAATAATAAAATAAAATTTCTCTAATTGTGAAAAATAATTAAAAAAACATTTATCTAATTCTCAATTTGAAAACTAATAAAATAACAGTATTTCAAAACCAAAACTGAAAAATCAAAACTCACATTTGTAGTGTTGAGGATTGTGAAGGAAACATGAAAAGAGTTTTCAAAAGTTTTAAAATATGAAAAATCAAAATATAGTTATCAAATGGAATTTATTGTTGTTTAAAAAAAAAAAAATCCAAAACTTAAAACGTTAACAAACATGCCCTAAGTAATTAAAAATGCATAAATCCATTACTAACTATTCAGTAACATAACCTCAAAGGGTTTGCTCCGGTGGTAAAGTTTTGAGACTATAACTCTGTTTGGTTAGAGGGATGGAAAAATTGATGGAGAGGAGAGGAGAGGAGAAGGGGTGGATGAGGCATCCCTAGGAAAGAGAAGATGTCTCCTTCAAATTTTGTTTGGTTAGATGGAATGGATAGTAGAAATGATGGATGAGGTGACGCATTATTTTTGTTTGGTTGAAAGGAATGGAAAGATGGTTTTTATATTCTTTTTACCAATATACCCTCATTATTTAAAATTATAAAAATTCTATATTTTTTCCAAGTTTATAAGGAGGTTAGAAATGGAAAATACATATTTTTGTTAATTGTTACTTCTTTCTCTCTCCTCTTCCTCCCTATTTTGGGCGGCTAGAAAGATACAAAGAAATAAGGGATGCTTCATCCCTCTTTGTTTCCTCCTTCTTTTCCCTTCCCTCCAACCAAATACGAAAAAATTGTTTTATCCACCCTTTCATCCCTCCATCCTCAATCCCTTCCTCCAAACAAACGTAGCATAATAGGGTCTCATGAAGCATTAAGTCTTAGCTTCGAATTCCTTAGGGGCCACAAGACCGTGAACATAGTCGATTCGTGTAAAGAGTGCACCTTTTGAATTTAGAGGTGGTTCAAGTAAAGAGATATTTTCTAGGTTAGTACTCACACATATATGGCTCCACTGAGCTTGAACCCCTAATCTCCTTAGGTCACTGGCCCGTTGATTATTGGGCAAACATTTTCAAATAAGAGAAAGAAATAGGTGAAATACCCTGGCCTTCCCTGAAGTTTGTCCAAATATCTTCTAGTTGAAACTATTGCCAAAATAGCCCCTAACCTTCCGTGAGATTTGTTCAAATATATCTTAGTTGAAATTATTATCAAAATAGCTCCTGACTTCCTTTGAGATTAGTCAAAATAACCCCTAACCCCCTTTAAAGTTTGCCCAAATTTCTCTGATCTTTCCTAACGTTAATCAATGGAATATTTTTTAAATGCCCAAACTATTCTTAAGTGAGAGAAAAATGATTCAAATGACCTTATTAGAATAGCAAATGACCATTTTAACTAAATTTAATTGAACAAAACTACATTTTCTTATATTTACCCTTTGGATTGTTTTGGCAAAGTTGAAAATATTTTTTTTTGCGCAATTGAAGACAATTTTTTTTTTTGAACGAGTGGTTTGTTGATGAATTATTTTTAGCAATGTCTATTTTATTTAATCATATGAATTATTTGTTGAATACTTTTTTTTGCACACTTTTTAAGTCTAGGGATTAGTTTGCTCATTTGTTAAAAGTTCAGGGGGTATTTTGCACTTTTGTCTTTAATTAATTAATAGTGACAACTCCCAAGATAAAAAATAATAATTAATAGTGACCCATATCATTAATTTGATACTCAAATAAGAATTTGATTATTCAACAAATACAAGTACAATTATTCTCAATAAATGTTATCAGATTAACCAAATTACATTGTTACAAATTAATAATTCTAATTAAATTATACAGATAATAAGCAAGTGTGCTTTTGTCCAATTAAAATTGTTTGAATTAATTATTTGACATATTAATTCGGTTATTTGAGTTATTTTATTTAAATTGTCTTGGTATTTCAAATTTATTCTTAAAACTTGTTTGGTACACAACATAAACATCTATTTGTGATCTAATTAACTAATAGAAACAGCTCCCAAAACAACGAATTAACTAATCGTATTATTGAATGTCTTAATATAATATTGTCCATACTCAAATAATTATGCAAGTAAGACACCCTTTTAAGATCATAAAGAATGGGCATCCTTATTTATGAACTGGTTTATGATAAATAATAATAAATTTGAACTTTGGCAGTTTTATAATTGGAAAATTGGATAGGATGATGTTGGTAATTAAAAATTATATATCGGTCATGTGAGGCTCCACCTCTACTCTCACATGGAGTGAAGCTGTCATCGACTCATTGTCATATTAGCTTACAAAAATTTCTTGGAAATGGAAAACAAAGCATCATTTATTTGCAAATTGTCACACGTGAGAATCTTTTTATTTTCTAACATTCACATGTATGATTGTTTATTTTCTTGCTAATAAATTTTAATAAATAAATAAAGTATCAATCACATATATCATTTATGCATCCGAAGCCAATCACAATTCACAAGGGTGTGCCACAGTTTGAACACAAAAAGCGTACCATGCGACACCGTTTGGTAAACTATTGGGTGCTCCATATCATAGTCATATAATATCTTTGTCGCCAATTGTCAGCCAATTTGCCCTTCAAACTCACTTTTCGTTATTTTTATTTTTTTGCATTTAAAAAAAAAAACACATTCACATACTA